ACCTCTTGTTGTGATGGACCATCTTTGAGTGTAAGGCAAGGTAGTCCATCCTTTAGCCTAAAAAAAGTACTCGATGCTTCTTCCATGTGTCTGGAGGGTTGTTCTGGCTGACGTTCAGGTTGTTGGTGTGTGTTGATCGTTTGTGTCTTTTGCGGAATTATGTTTCTGTTAGAGTGATTTCGTTTGTACCCACTGTTTCTTTGAGGTTAGACAACATCCATGAGTTCTTGTGGAGGTTGGTATGTGTTAAATACTCTTTGAGGTTGTGCATAATTGTAATTGTTCCTCATTTGTTGCCTTGGTTGAAATTGATTTCGATTGAAGTTGTTTTTATTAGGTTGATTATATTGGTTTCTTGACCATTGGTTTAAATTATTATTTTGTCATTGTGGTGGATTAAAATTAAAATGGTTTGTGTTTTGTGGTATTATTCTATGTTGATTAGTTGGTCTTTGCCAAAAGTTATTTAAATTTCGTCTTAAATTTTTCACCAGTTTGTTGTAATCGTATTTCGATTTGTTTAGCACTTATATAAGTTTGCATTAAGCTTTGGTATTGATAACATGCTGTTGACAAATTTTTATTTTTTAATCCTTTAAAAATGTTATAGATGTTATAGATTCTTGTTCAATATATTTGTTATTTATTTCTGTTTTTAGAAGGTCTACTTATTTTTAATCAACTTCGTGTGCAGTGTTAATGTGTATTGGAAATAAGTGTCCAGGTATTCTGTTGGTTGTTGTGCCAAGTTCTTTATGTGTTATTAAATTTCATACAGTGCATTTGGTTCGTGATATGGTACGTCCAAAGCTTCCATGATACTGTAGAAGTTGAGAGGTGTGTTGTTACATTCAAATAACATACCTGCATGCCCCGTTATACTTCTTCTGAAGGTTGCAAGGATATTGTAGAATTGAAGTGTGTTCTGGAATACTTGGAGTGGTTCCATGACTTTCATTATATGTGACTTCCATATTGTATATTCTCTTGTTTTCTTGGAAAGTAGGTAAATCTTTTATGACTTCCATTTGTACCTCTGTAACATTCCGGCGCAGTAAGTGGCATCTTGATATATTTCGCCAGTATTATTATTTATAGTTTGGAACATCCGTAATATTAACTCCCCTCCCTTTCCTAATCCAATTTCGAGAACTGATTCTGAATGTAGGACATTATGTAGTTTTCAAGAGTAGTTTGGACTGTAGATGATTTATGTCCTCGTTTGGAATTGTCCGTTTTGTTCCTTGACTCATTTTCTGAGTGTCTGTCTTCGCTAAGAAAGATTTAAAGTTTCGGGCTTTCTTTACTAAAGATTTTAGCTTAAGGATTTAGATGTCCTTTTTTATGCGCTTTGAAGATTCTTAAGGATGCCAATGTCCTGCTGTGCGATCTCCTGCTTCCCAGCAAAAAGCGGTTGAGCCCCCAGTTAATTCATATACTGATGAATGGTTAAAAAATTATATGTTTTCTTTTGCAGAATATGCTCTTTATTCTAGAAATTCACATACTTAATGAACATGTTTTCATATTATGCTATGGGTTATATATTATTCGTTAAGCTGATAACATATTCATGTTTTGTGGCTTAGGTCTAAAGTCTAATTTGATTATTTATTGTAAGAAGTGTTTATCATGCGGCCTATACATGTCTTGCATTCGGGTGTGATGTGGTACGAGTTCAAAGTTGGGTTGGATGAGTTGATTGGGGCAGGGGCTTTATCAGTGTTTCTCATATACTTGTGTATAAGTGTTGTTGCGTTTGAAGATCTGTTCCCTTTCTACAAGAAATTCTGTAGCGACCGTGATAATTTAAATTTTGATTTGAAAACTTGAGAGAAAATTTATTATAGTGTATAATGCAACAAAAAAAAATCGATTTCTAGAAAATTTCACACTGAGACCATCCCTTGATTCCAAACACATTAAAAACTCTTTATGCGTCTATATTCTTACCCTGCAACCACCCCTCTAAGCCTATACCAATTTTTACGTCGAATACCGGTAACTTTATTCTAAAGTTTTCCTGTGGCTCAGTGTTAAAAAGTATCGATATTGGTTAGTAATCAATCGTCGCTTTACTCGTACATATTTCGGCTATAACATTTGTTTAAAGAATTGCATTAATCTGCAATAGAACAGAGTTTGGTGACTATTTTATCTAATAGAGAATATCTAATTCCTATTTAACATGATCAATAGTCCTGTGTCAATTATCCATTCTTTTTTTTCTATCTCATTCACTCAATATTCCCTTCCTGCTATTTGGTACGGAGGCATGGACAATGATAACACCTGACGAGTCGACGTTGCGAGTTTTCGTGGGAACGGTTCTGCGGAATATTTATGGTTCTTTGCGCGTTAGTCACAGCGAATATCACATTCGATGGAACCATGAGCCGTATGAGATATATGAGACATTGACATAGTTCAGCGAATTAAAAGACAGCGAATATGCTGGATAGGTTATGTCGTGCGAATGGACGAAAAAAGTGCAGCTCTGAAAGTTTTCGACGCAGCACCAGCAGCTGAGGAAGAGAAAAACCTCCACTCCGTTTTAAAGACCAGGTGAAGAAGGACCTGGCTTGGATTGAAATCTTCAATTGGCGCCACCTTACAAAAAGAAGAAACGACTGGCGCTCTGAAGAAGAAAAAGTTTTGGTAATCTGAAGCATGTGTTGTATAAGTGCGATCAGGTTGCGCTATATATAAGTAGTTAAAAGGTAAGATTTCGTTCTAAAACTTTGCGGACAGTTTTGTGGTACGAAAATACGTCACAATTTTTGATAACGGCGAAAAAGTAAGACAGGATACTACAAATCTTAAAAGAGCGAAATTTCTGAAGCTGGTGATGAAAAGTGGCCAGATAATGTCTCTTCAGAAGTACCGTGAGCTTGATTGGCACCAATTGACTAATGGTTGTAGTCCCATTTCGCATATTTTCAATGTAACATAAAGATGTCAGGATAATAATAATGATTATATTTGGTTGAAAGTGGTCGATTAGTTCTTGAGGTATATGATTGCACGTTATCTCCATTTGGGATTTTTAATTTAATGATTCTGACTTACATATTTAGGGAGTTATTGTACTTTTAGCAGTTTTCATATAACTCTTAACAATTTCATGCCCGACTTAAAATGGGCGGAGTTATAACATTTTTTAGGACAGATAATATATATGTTAGTCTTAATTCAAGTATGAAGTGATAAAAATTTCAAAGTCCTTAGTGTCCTGGTTCGTTAGTTATAGGATGTTATAGGATGGCAACAGCACTTTTACCAAATTATTGTAAACAAACTAAACACATTCCCAATGAGTTATTTTTATTTTTAATAACTATCTTACATTTATATATTTATGTTGTTCCCTTGGTTTGACAATAAAACACCTATTTTAATTTTTTTAAACACTTTTGCGTAAACTTCTTTTTTCGCGATCTTGATAATTTCACTCTACGTAATGCAAAAACCCGCGCGTCAAAAAATTCTAAATAATGGGACTTAGAAGCATATATGTACAATGTTGCCTATGAGTAACATCAGGCATGAAAGGGTTAAATAGGACGGGTGTATCATCCAATTTCAACCATTCACACTATATCAGGAAGAGGCTGGACTTATCCCCTATTTAATGGCTGGTGAGTCATGTACTACCACGTCTCAATAAAAACCGAGACACACACTACATGAACTGAACAGAGGAACGATAATCCATTTTATTATAAAACCAGAAAATTAAATTTAATATTGCACTTAAGACGTGATCTGACCAGTCACAATTAGCATATGAAAACGTTGTTCACGTCAAACAAATAAAGAAAAATAAAACATATATTCATTACTTGAGTTTAATCGAGGCCATCCCTTCTTCTGGTTGTATTCGTTAGAGTTTTAAACTGTGCCGTGGGGATAGGTTTTACAAGTGGATCGAGCCTTCTTAAAAGTTCTTAGAATATGAATAAGAATGTCGCTGTCTTCCCGCTTAGCGGAGATGTTGTTGTTCTTATAACGAATACCTACTGCCCGGTAGGGTGGTAATTATTAGCTAAGTTGCCGTCGCGTCATCCAACGAGAGGCCCAAAAAACATGCTGTTTTAACGAAGTCGGACCTAAGAGAGAGGGTTGTGAAATGGGTGGTGTTAGTGGGGCATGCAAAGCGGTTGCCAATGTGATGCGGCGACTCATTTGATATGTCTGGGTTTATTCCGCGAAAGTAGGAGTTTAACCTGTTAAAGTATCCATAACGAAGCTGCGCAAGTGTCACTCTCATTTCTCGCGGCAACTCGAGCTCTTCGCCTACATTGGGTGATGGTTTGACTCCAAGTGTTGATGGCTCTACTCTGAATAGCGGTCAGTGCTTGTCGAAAGTGAGTTGCGTCCGAAGTCTGGTCAGCGTATTGTATGATGTCGTCAGGAGGCGGTTCCGCTCCCAGAAGATGACTGCAGGGATGACGAAAGCACCCCAGCAGAAACTGACGGCAGAGAAGTTCATTATGTTCCTTAAATGGGAGCATACGGGCCTCACTATGTAGGTGTTCGATAGGAGACATCAAGAGTCATCTTGTGGTAGTCCGGCGTGTAGTATTCTAATATGTCTTAAGATTCCTCGTCTGCATCGGCTACCATATTCAAGCGGCGTAGTTTAGCATCGGCGGCCGATTGCCTTTTAAGTTGCCAACAACGTTTCTTTGTCCTTTCCCCATGTGCGGCTAGCGACTTGAGGGGTTTGTTTCGGCTCTGTATTTTGATGAAAATAGCGGTCGTATGCGAAGTAAATAAGCACAGACTATCAAAAGTCACACCTAAAATTTTATGATAATTGACAGTCAGAATCTTGACGCCATCGACTGCAATATTAAGGTTAAGTCTGTATTCCTTCGTCTAGTTTGTAAATATGGTCGCTGTAAATTTAGTGGGGGAGAGAGTTAAGTTCCGTGCAGAGAGGAAACGAGAAATGTCGGAGAGATAGTTCCATTGCCCGACGTCAAAATCGTGCAATTATCAGCTGGGCGTTTATGACGCTAAGTGCTGTAGTGGTACTGAGTACTTTCCGGAATGATCAGATTGGGAGTTATATTTCCCATTTACTACTTATTCTACGTTTCCCTATTTTACCGTTTTATTTGAAGTGTTGCAAGGTATACATATGAACAAATCAAAATTATTTAGGTTTTCATTACGATCATATTACCTAATTTAATATGTCACAAGCAAGCGCATGATGAAAATACTATTAAACGTTTTTCGAACTTGATGCGATAATAATGCTTAGAACTTTCATCTGCTTTCGCATAAATAAGTTTAGAACACTGTTCGCGATTGCTTAGTTGTTGTATTACTTAAAACTAACTTAAATCTAGTACATACAATGGCTTCCATACACTAAATATTCGTTGTTTTATATGTTTAATTAATTTTTACTTATTTTTAACTTACTATTATATATTAACTACTTGTTATTGCTCGCTACTGCATCTTCCATTGTGTGCTTTGATAACTAGGAGATGAAGGAAAATGTGGAATCAACCAACGTAATGGAAGATTTACCCACGGAGGTCGAAATAGAAGATTGTTCAGATAACAGCGAAGATATGGATGCCGAATTTTCACCTCAGAATAAAATTCATGCCACAGAAACTGAGACAAAATTGGTTGCCAGTGAAAAGCAAGATGGGACAGAAGGAAGTGGGGCAATTTTCGAAAATGATAAGAAAGGAGATGATCATAGTCTTAGTATTAATAATGTAGTGGAAACGGTGATTGTACGAGATCGATCTGAAAAAGACTTAGAAGATAACAAAGAAACAACCAATGCTTCGCTCAAATTGACTTTTACAGCAACTGTTCCAACTGAACAACTGAATGGTACAGAATGCAAGTCACATGGCAATGAAGTGACCGAAACTATAAAGAAAGAAATAAAGGGACAAGATGAAATAGAATTCGTAGTGGAAGAGGATAAGATCGACTTAGCCGAAGATAATATAGCAGAAAACAAAGAAGTAATAATATTGTTACTACACTCATTATAATTTTATTGAAAATACACAATTTAAGGTTAAACTAAGTGAGAATGCTGAAACAGCCATAGCTCTCTTATCCGCTAAGCCGCAAAATTCGAAGGATGATGTTGATAAATTGCAACCAGAAAATCTGCTAAAAGGGGTATGTACTACTTAAAACTACATATATATTCAGGAAATTAAATACATTTCTGTTTCTTAAATGCGATATAAAATTCGTACATCTTTTCTGTTGAGTGGGAAGATTCTAAACTTCTTTTCTTTTCGCAATTTATAAAACACTTATTTATTTATATTTGTGTCAAATATTTGCTTATAAAAGTATATAATAAATAAAGGAAGATGTGTTCGAACGAAAAATCAACAGTCGGTCGCAGAATGTCAACTTTTACTGTTCGCCCAGAGAACATAAAACATAGAGATGGTGCAAATTGAATTCTGTATGATGTTCGATTTGGCGGCTAACAGAGCTGATTAATTTATAATAGGGAGTTCGCCATTCTCGCTGCTATTTAGCAGAATTGAGCACGTTCTCTGGCAGAAATTTATGTAAAACGACAAATTCATGCGAGAATAAATAAAGAGAAATGCTTTGTCGAAAAATCTACAAAGTCACACAGAGAATGTAAAAAAGCATTCTCTGAGCCCATATGTGACATGGACCATTGTCACGGTCAACCAATATCCGAAGCTGAGGGTAGAAAACCCAAGCCATGCGGAAAAAAATAAACGAAGGGCCGCCGATTGTCACCGCTTCCCCTGCCGCTGTAATAACTTCGCCTACAAACTAACGAAAATATGTATGCATATGTATGAGCTTGCATACATATCGACGCTGATTTTTGCAAATATTGTAAATCGACAAAAGCTATGTTGCCACTTTTCTCACTTCTTTCTTAGAACAAACAACAGATGATGTTCAATTTATGATTTTTAGCTTTTGCCATCGTCGTGAAAAGGCGGTTGTAAGCAAAAGAAAGCTCGGGGAGATGTTACGGCGTCGCTTGTGGAATATGCGCCTGGGTTTATGAATGAAATCGTTTTTATTCTAAAATTTACTACATTTGGGCTTCGCCAATTCGGCTGCCATATTGACTTGTGATGCTTCTGCTATTTAGACTATTGTTGTTTTTGTATAACAATGCTTCAATTTTTTGTTGGTGACATATTCACATGTGTACGCATATGTATGTTTGTATGCTTGTGCATTATTTGCTCGGAAGTGTATACAAATATATATACATAAAAGCATATATGTATGAATGTATTAACACGCAGATTAATGCGCGCACATATAATATATTGGTAAGTGATAAAATCATAATTTGAATTTCTGAACACGCTCATGCGTATACATTCAGTCATATGAGCAGATAATAAGATTAATATGATAGACAATGCATTTATATATTGTTGTGATAAATTCAATCTCTTAGTAGAAGCATAATTCAAAAATATTTATTAGTAATCAAATTGTAAAATCAAATAAAATTATTAAATATTCAAGTCCAAATTGACTGTAAATAGTACTATACATGCATTCATAAAAAATATCTCAAATATTCAAAGAGAAAAGAAATATATATATATATGTATTTACGGCATATGATGATATGGCATATATGCCCAAGCAGAGAATATGAAGAGACATAAATATATGTATGCATGCTCCTTATGATACCCCCAACAACAGCATTATGATATTTTCATGCTTAAATTTTTTCCTTCGCAATGCATGTAAATATGTTTTGCGTTTTGCCGTCGGCATTTCCATATTGGCATGTCAAAATAATCTTGATAAGAGTAAAATTTTTTTCGAATGCATGCATAGTACTATTTACAGTCAATTTGGACGTGAATATTTAATAACTTAATTTGATTTTACTATTTGATTACTAATAAATATTTTTGTATTATGCTTCTTAGTAATAGAAATTGAATGTATCACAACAATACATAAATACATTGTTTATCATATTAATCTTATTATCTGCTCATATGACTGAATATGTACGCATGTGAGCGCGTTCAGAATTTCAAATCATGATTTTATCACTTATCAATATATTATATGTGCGCGCATTATCTGCGTGTTAATTCATTCATATATACTTTTATGTATATATATTTGTATACACTTCCGARCAAATAATGCACAAGCATACAAACATACATATGCGTACACATGTGAATATGTCACCAACAAAAAATTGAAGCATTGTTATACAAAAACAACGATTGAATCATCGCCTCGAATAACGTTGTAAGTGACATTTTGTGGCAATCCTGTTTTATTGCAAATTACCGTTAATAATGCTCTCCCGTATCATGAGAGCGCAAAATTTTACAATATCCATCAGTTTTTAGCCATTGAGCTGCGTCCTAAAGTCAGTAGTGAGTGGAAAAACGTTTTAAGTGCTGGTGATCATGGCATATTTAGAGGTGTTGAGCACCATTCAAAAGTGCAATAAAGGAAAAAAACGTAAAATAAATTATGAAAATTGGAAAGATATAAGTAATAAGAGGCCGAGAAATAGTGAAGAAGCATATTCAGGAAGAAATGGAAAATTTGTACATACAAAAAAAAAAAATGCTCCAGAAACGGTAATGTGGAAAAACGTTGTAAGTGTAAGCTGTGTCAATATCAGTTTTGTTTTTGTATTCATCAGAGTTTCAACTGCGCTTGTTATCTACAGTGCTCAAGCTTCAAATTGGAGACTATTCAGAAGCATTTCTCTCAATTTTATCAAATTGACTATGACAAGCAATCAAATTTTTTACGCTCTTTAATCGAATTGAAAGAACCACAAAGAAGAAGAGTTGCAGAGGGCACATCACGTCGAAATGTAACTGTGAACTATTTTCTACCACAGCACAATGAGAGAAAAGTGAGAGTGTGCAAACAAATGGTTTGTCATACCTTTCAAGTGACACAACGAAGACTTCAAATTTTAGTTGAAAAACTGAAGGCGGGAGATAGTTTGAGTGATCAGCGCGGACGACATGATAATCGGCCGAATAAAATCGTTAATGCTGAAAAGAAAAGTGTCATGGAACACATAGAAATCTTTCCTTGTCAAGAAAGTCACTACAGTCGTTCTAGTTCAAAAAAAAAAAAATTGTCTCCATCCAGATTTAACTATTACAAAAATGTTTAAATTATTTAAGGAAAAATATCCAGATAGCACTTTAAGTTATAATACATACAGAGATATATTTAACGCAGAATTCAGTTTGTGGTTTGGATTACCAAGGTCCGACACTTGTAAGCTCTGCGATAAGTATTATATAGAAACGATTGCCGCTGAAGACCAGGATAAAATAAGATGCATAGAGAAACTGGCAGAGGCACATCACAAAAAGGCTGAAAAAGCATATTATATTCTAGGCTGAGTGATGACACAAAGTCAGCTTTAGGCAGTTCCCATATTGTTGCGCTTTGCGTTGACTTACAGCAAGTGATTTATACTCCAAATCTCACACATACGGACGTCTTTTATCAGCGGCAGTATTCGAATTACAACTTCGCTATACATAATTTGGGGCAAAATACTGTTGACATGTATACTTGGCATGAAACAGTTGCAAAAATGGGTGCAGCTGAAATCGCTTCATGTATTTTAAGACACATCACTTCCACCAACGCTATTTTAAAAGCTGGAGATATGAGAAAATTAATTATTTGGTCCGACAGATGTGTGGGTCAAAATAATAATTGGACCATGATCGCCTTAATTTACCATCTAATAAAAATGAAATACTTTTCTGAAGCTAATCAAAAAATTTTAGTTTCTGGATACAGCTTTTTACCTTGTGATCGCGATTTCTCTCTCATTGAAAGGAAAAATAATAAGTTAACTGGAAACGCAAATCACCAAAATACCAAGTCAGCATTGTTTGCCTAACATCTGTTTCAGGTAATGCTGAACATCAACACCACCAACGGCCCGAGTTATGATCCAACGACAAGCAACAACAAACGATACTTACAAGCTACCGTAGCCGTGGGATCCGCTGGCGCAGCACAAATATAGCGCAAACAAGCGACGACTTACACTACACTCAAGTCGGCGTAATCGTGGGATTCGCTTACACTGCATCTGACAAAACATAGCAGCGGCAGTGAGGACGGCTTAGGTTTAGACTTAAGAGTAAGAATGTTTTAGAGTTTAGTTCTGATCGAGCCACTGAATAAAGCGCACTAGTGCCTAAAAACAACTGGCGCCCAACCGGGTAAAGAAGATACGAAGGATTCTCCAGAAAGTAAAAATCACCAAGGTATTTTGCGGTGGAGTGCCTTTAATGACTTCAAAGGACCCAAGGACTCACAGAGAATCGCTACAATCTTTAAAAACGTATCCTACAAGGACTCCAAGGATCCGAGGATTCATCACAAAAGCAGTTTATAATAAAAAACATGTTTCGAGTATTGTGAGTAGAGTGCTTATAGAAATAAAAACATTATAATTTCTTTTGAATTAAAACGACGCAATAATCGCGAGACTAGACTTTACGTACGCAGACAAACGACCGATATATTTAATCGAACAACAATTATCCACCTTACGACAGGGTAACCTATCTGTGCTTCGATATTTCGACGAGGTTGAGAAAATATTAAATAAAACCATAATGACCCATGAGGGTTAGGTATCAGAATCAATTTGCGAAAAATATAGAGCGGACGCTTTAGAAGTTTTTATATCAGGCCTTAAAATACCTTTATGTGACATACTATTTGCCTCTCGCCCTAGCGCTAGCGCTCTGGTATTAGCCCAGGAGGTGGAGTCAAATAGGGAAAGGTGCTTATTTGCATCAAATTTCGCAACGTCTATTGAAGACCAATATAAACTAGGAATAAACAATAATTCGGAGAAAAAGATGCAACAGCAACAAAATGTAAATTGGTGTAGGGAACCATCACAGACAGCCAATCAATACCAACAACAGAATCAAAGTAATAGTAGACAGGGCTATAGTTCAAATCAACAGCAGGGAAAACGACAGGCAGATTCAGATAGGGTTACTGGACCAAAGATGCAA